AGCTCGCACATCGTCCAAAGCCCGTGATAGAACAACCAGTCGAGGCTACAACTAAAGTAAGATGATGATTGGTTCTGTTCTTGGGGAAGTTCTGAATTTACCTCCTTTCTCACTTCTTGTTCTGGAATGTAATGATTCCCAGGTCCGCAGTTATTCGTCACCAAAATGGAGGATGGCACCGACACGCCGTGAGCAGGACAAGTGGGATAAAGCGACTAAGGCTGCAACCAGCGGAAGTGTATGTTATGTACATAACCTCAGTTAACTTATTTTGGTGGTTTTGTTGCTTTAGTATCCTCTTTCGGAGGTTTCTGCTACTACTTTCTCGGTAACTGTTTTTCCTAACTTATTTTGGTGGTTTTGTTGCTTTAGGATCCTCTGTCGGAGGTTTCTGCTATTACTTTCTCGGTAACTGTTTGTGATCAATTTGACTTCTTTAAAAAAGAAATTAGAATATAAATTCTTCCTTGATGTATATGTTACCGGGAAAACACCCTTTTAAGAAAAGAGTTTCTTAGAATCAAATCCCTGGAGAGGTGCGCAACAAGAAGTTGCACACTGAGCTTGTGGTAAGCTAGCCTTAGACCACTAAAATCAAAATAGGATTTCGGAAAAAAAACTAGAAAAACAAAACAACGTGAGAGAAATAATCTGAATGTGATGTGCAGATAAATCAAGAGAAATTTGCATTATATGGGTGTGAACAAACAATACAATGAGGGAAGGGGCTCTTTTTACAGGCATCAATGCATAAGGGCCTTGAATACAAATCATTCTAGAACTCTTATCTCTTATTTGACTGAATTGGTTTGAAATCTTTTGAGTGTAAACAATATTCAATTTATTTAATATCATTTTGAAGGATACCTTTGTGGTTTTATCTACCTATGGATGGCAGGATGTGATGTTTCGGGAATTGAGGCGGCCTCAAGGGGATCCGGAAGTGTTGGCTGCTCAATCAAGGGAACAGTATTTTAAGGTACCCTTTTGGAGCATCTGGGTCCATGGAAATTTTGTCTTAAATGATGCTTACAGTTACATTTTAAATTCAAATTACGATCATTTTCTTTGGTGCTTCTGATGATGGAAATTCTTTCTTTTTTTTTGTCCCTTTTTTTTGAGCAGTTGAAGAAGAAGTTACAGGTTCTGACATTGGGTATAGGCAGTGTTGGTTTAATCTCAACTTATGTCTCTTATTCACCTGAAATCGCTGCTAGGTACGCTAATGTGGGCAACAGTATGACCTTATCTATGAAAATCTGGTTCTATGTCTGATTGATTGTTTGTTGACCATTGCAAGTGAAATTGATCTGTTTCTTTTTGCTTGCTCTTTATTTGTGTCCTTCCTCATTTAATCATATATTAATATTCATGTGTTGCTTCTAGAAATTTACTACTCTTTTGCATACACATGATAAGGTATGAAGGAGGACAGCTTTAGATTTGTGTCTGGCAAAATAATCCTTGTGAGCTAGGGCTTGGTGTATGTGAAACCTGGGTAGATTAGGAACTTGTTTAAAGGAAAACGGAATGTCACTACAGCTATAAATAATTCCCAGTGTACTGCGGCAAAGTGAAAAGCTAAGATAACTAAATACCATTAATACTCCTATATAAGTTGAATTCCTAAATAAACCAGGTTTACAAGAAATCTCAAAATCTAAAATCATATTAAAATAATTTATAATTTTCTCCTTTGTTGGCCGCATCAGTATATATTTGTATGCATTTGAGATTGTGCATTTAATTGCAGTTGCCTACATACCAGAACATTGAGACTTGTAATTTAAATTGAATTGTTCTTTTAGTAGATGAATCATGACAGTCTGCATTCTTGCATGGATTTTTGAAATGTTCCATTTGTGTTGCATTCCTGGGTTTAAATAGTTAATGCATTGCTGTACTAATAGAGATCCTTAACTGTAGTTTCTTGTTTCACCAACGGGTAACACTTGACAGTGCACTCTTTTAATTTTTGACAAGCTTGCCTTGCAGTAACATTTTGTTTTGCTAATTAAAAATATTTATTCACTCTTTGGATGATAGTTTAAAATTCATAGTTTTCTTATACTTCCAGCTTTGGTGCTGGGTTTATTGGATCTTTGGTGTATATTCGTATGCTTGGGAATAGTGTGGATTCCATGGCTGATGGAGCAAAGGGACTTGTCAAGTATGTAAACTATCCTCTGAACATATATGTTAGTTGTCTTTAACTAATGACTACATTTTAAGGACATTGCATTATACTAGCTTGATTGATACTACACTTGCTGACCCCCACTTGTTTCCTTACTACTTTACTATATTTAATTGTATGGTTACAAGTGTAACATTGTGTGTTGTTACCAGCACTAAATTAACATGTTAAAGGGCTAACAGTTTGGCTTGCTTTGCAATTGTTGTTCTTAGCATGTTATGGTGAGGGTTCAAAACTAGAAAGTGTTTGTTTGGTTGAAATTCAATAAGGGAAAGAAGATTATCTAAGTGCTTGTTTGGCACCGTGATAGCCTCTGCTTTTGAAATTATTTTTCATCTGCTGCTGCTTCTGATCACCAAATTCTTTTTCTGTGACTTAAACTCATTTGAAGCTTCTTTTTTTCAACTACCTAACTACTACTGCAGACTATCTAAGTGCCTGTTTGACACCACGATTGCTTCTGCTTTTCCAATTATTTTCGTTTGAAAAATCATTAAATTGATGCTTTTTAGGTGCTTTTCGATGATTTTGATGTGTTAATGTCAAAAATATTTTTTTGAATAAACATTATTTTGATGCATTTTCAATTGAAAAACGCACTGCACCACATTACAAATATATACTTAATCCCCAACCTTTTATGAACATCAGGAGATTGTCTGCCACCTGCTCTACATTATGTTTTTGATTACATTTTGGTTAACAAGAGGGCTCAGAACCATATGAAAGCGTTGTTTTCTTTTGGCAGGGGAGCAGCTGCACAGCCAAGGTTGCTCGTTCCTGTTTTATTGGTCATGATCTATAATCGGTGGAATGGGTAAGTACTTGTGGCCTGCTGTGCTGGTACACTGCTCATCTGCTACCTTGAAGGGTTCTTTTGCTGAAACCAATCTCATTTTACACATTTTTTCTTCGAATAAGCTGCAGCATCTTACTTTTCTTTTTGGTTTGTTTTTATTCTAATTGTTGTATAAAAGTAAATCTGTATCCCTTTCAGATGCGGGACTTGGCTGTTATCTCTGATATATGGCTACAAATTTCATATCTTGAAATTGCCAAAGCAAAAAAATATCTACCCCTTAAAGTAGTTTAAAGACCCTTGATCAGAGATGTGATATCTGTACAGGAATCGACAGGAAAAAGGAAATCAGTTATATCTGAGGATCCAAATCATTCCATCTCTTCAATTTTTTTCTTCTTCTAACCCACTGGTGAATGGAAGGATCCTCTAGTCAAAAACTTGATTGAAAATTGTTTTTTGATATGATGTTATTTACTGTTCTGTCTCATTATGTGTTGGCAGACATCTATAACCTTCTTAAGATACTATATGATTTTCCATATCATTACTTCAACTGACATCAGTCCTTTTCTAGTACACCTCTTATAACAATTTTGTTCACCTATTAAGGAAATAATGGAAATTAGATTTGCATGAATTTCGTTAGTATATTCTTGGTGAATTTACCTATTGACAGTGCTCTATTTGAACACAGGATTCTTGTTCCAGATTATGGATTTATGCACTTAGAATTGATACCGATGTTGGTGGGATTTTTCTCCTATAAGATTGCTACTTTCGTTCAAGCTATTGATGAAGCACTTGCTCCACTAGTGAAAAAGACATGAGTTTAGGATGAATGCTGAATATGCCAAGGGGATGCACTGTTAACACTTAAGAAATCGGAGAGGTATTTTAATTAATTTTTACAGCTTACACATGCATTTTTGGCCTTTGATCATTTGCTAACCTTTCTGTTCGTTGATGATAATATATTTTTGTTCATGTTTACAGGTGATGATTTCATAAATTGGCCGGGGGGCGCCAAAGGGAGAGACTTTTTCCTTAATTTTTTACTTATTCAGAGAAATGTAAGGAAACTTAAGCTGGTAGTGTAAGTATGGGAATCAGTTACTCATATTGGTTCCCCTTTCAATGCAAAAATGGTTGGCGAGAGCTTTTTTTCATCTCAATCAGTATCTAGAATAAGCTGTACTTTTTACATTTTGTCTGAAGAAAAATGTAATCACGAATTAGTGAATCGAACCAGGGAATATATTATTCGAAAATTTTATTTCGTTGTCTTAAAGTAGAGGCTTAGCGAACATTAAGGGTTGTGATGCATCGGGAAGACGAAGTCTCTGCTTCAAGTACGGGTCTCCTTCGAGAAGGTCCTTATGCTCGGCAATCTGCAAGCACAGAAAACATAATGGAATTTATTCACAGATGGAGCGAAGCCGTGTCTTAAACTTTTTTAAGCAAAGAAATGTGGCAATAGGCACTCTAAAAACAGAACAGGTTTGGGTTTAGAAATGTTCTGAAGGGGGACGAAAGCAATGGATTTTGACCTATCTATATGATTTGTTCTCTCAGCAGCGGCTTATCCCCATAACCGTAGGAGGAGCTTGGTTTCTTCGTAATTTGCTACAAGCAGTCTCCAAAAGGCCGCAGTTATTCTGACACCAGGGGCTTGTCATACAAAGCAGCAAACCCTGGATCTCCCTTGGCAAATGCCAACTCCACAGGTAAATTGTCAATCTGTAGAAAAGCTACTCCTTGTATATCTCCTGGAGCGTGTGGAGATTTTTTTATGTCTTTCTGAATCGCATGCTTAAATGCTGCTCCAAAGCCAAGCCAAACTGGTAGATGGAACCGTGTCTGGGTCCAACCAAAAGATCCATGGGATTGCTCGGAGTGACTCGATGCCGCCACTTGTTGTTTTTTTTTGGAAAGTGAATTCCGAAGAAAGTGAATTCCAGAGAAAATGAATTCCTAGAAAGTAAAGTATTTTTCGATGAATATATTATTCGAAAATTTTATTTCGTTGTCTTAAAGTAGAGGCTTAGCGAACATTAAGGGTTGTGATGCATCGGGAAGACGAAGTCTCTGCTTCAAGTACGGGTCTCCTTCGAGAAGGTCCTTATGCTCGGCAATCTGCAAGCACAGAAAACATAATGGAATTTATTCACAGATGGAGCGAAGCCGTGTCTTAAACTTTTTTAAGCAAAGAAATGTGGCAATAGGCACTCTAAAAACAGAACAGGTTTGGGTTTAGAAATGTTCTGAAGGGGGACGAAAGCAATGGATTTTGACCTATCTATATGATTTGTTCTCTCAGCAGCGGCTTATCCCCATAACCGTAGGAGGAGCTTGGTTTCTTCGTAATTTGCTACAAGCAGTCTCCAAAAGGCCGCAGTTATTCTGACACCAGGGGCTTGTCATACAAAGCAGCAAACCCTGGATCTCCCTTGGCAAATGCCAACTCCACAGGTAAATTGTCAATCTGTAGAAAAGCTACTCCTTGTATATCTCCTGGAGCGTGTGGAGATTTTTTTATGTCTTTCTGAATCGCATGCTTAAATGCTGCTCCAAAGCCAAGCCAAACTGGTAGATGGAACCGTGTCTGGGTCCAACCAAAAGATCCATGGGATTGCTCGGAGTGACTCGATGCCGCCACTTGGCTTCCGTGTTGATGGTCGCCTCCCAATTTTCATCCGACCATACTCCATCTCTGGTGTTGCCCGCATCATGGAAATCCCAAACACCAGAAAAATGAAGCGTTTCCATCAGTGTACTAATTACTATACTAAGAGTGAAAATGAAGGATCCACAAACCATTTCAAACCTCGAACACTTCACGACTTCGAAATTTGTAGGAGGGTTAATGAAAGAGAGCACAAAAGGTGAGACGTTAAATGCTCGGTAAGAGCAAAAAGAGAAGGAACATATATCCTGTTTGGTAATCACATTAATAATTCAAGACATGGTCATTTGATTTTTACTTGTTTCAAATAAGAATGACATAGAAATAAAGAATAGTTGTTTTAGTCTTTCTTGGTGAATTGTCAGGGCTATTAGAATTTTGTTGTCATGATCATGTCAAACAACCTTGAAGGATCAATGACAGTGGCTGAGTTAAATGCTTACAAAGCGGAGGTATTCAACATAACGAGGTTCTTGGAAAACTATGGATCGGTGCTCTTTCGTCGCTACAATTTCCATCTCATCCATGAGAGCACGCCATTCTGACTCAGGTGAGATTGGGGGATGCATTCCATGCTCAAGCGCGGTAGCTGTAAGACTCTAGAGTGTTCTGAAACACAAGTGCTCCTCCCCAGAAGACTTTTCAAGCGCCTTTAACAGCCAAACAATCTCAGACACCCTAACATGGATAAACAAAGCTAATGGGCAATTTTCTACGAAGTCCGCCTATGAAAATCATTAAGAAAGAGGACATTCGACATTCATAGTTACTCGCACGTAAAAGTGACTTTCGTTTATTTAAAGGAAAGTCTTCTTTGATTGAACGGGGCCGTCACCTATTCTTTTCAGTGGGGCGACCACTCCTATGATCTTGCTCTTATCAAGCTTCCCGATAATTCACATCCGATGAGCTTCTTGTGCTAGATTGGATTTTTTCTCTTTCTTGCCTGGGAATGGCGCTGTGCCCGGGATCACGAAGAGACGAAGTGATGCACAAATGGTGTCAGGTGGTTGAGTAATATAGCAAGATGGGTAGGCCCTCTTCGTCTGCCAAAATCCCTCCTTGATCATGGAACATGGTTAGCTTAACCCCATATTCCTTTGCCACCTTCACAAGCTCTTCTTGAGGCTCATACAGCTGCCAAGCAGCAGAGAGACGCCCGGCATCCTTTCCAGAATCTGAGTATCCTATCATGACTTCTTGCTTCCCCTTAATCTGTTTTCTATACCAATTTATTGAGAAGAGACGAGCCACAGCAGCAGGAGCAGCTTCAAGATCAGCGAGCTTTTCAAACAACGAAAAACCTCAGTGGTTGTTAGACACGACACTCACACTATAACAGCCCAACAGCAAGTACATCGGAAGGGCTTGTGGCCATTGGGATTATATAAGCACCAGCATTGTCTGGAGGAAGTTCTGCAATGACATGAAAGGTGTCAAGTACGCCAGCAATGTCTTCAGTTTTGGGAAGATCAGGTCCGAAAAGAGGGCGTTTGCCACTGAGCACAGTTAAGAGCCATTCCTGCCTATGTTCTTCTGACCATTCTCGATAGGATCCAATGCCTAGGTGCTTTGTGATGGCATCTAGAACATCAGTGTGCCTGTCAGATTCCTGCTAGATATCAAGTCTGACAAGTAAGAGCTCGAAGGTAGAACTTGCCATAAGAAATCAAGAAGGCTTCCGTCGGCAATTGGTCAATCACCACAGGCACAGAGTGATCTGTAACAGAGTACAAGAGGCTCGAGAAACTACAGGAATAGAAAACCAATGAGTAAAACGGGATTGTCTTGCTTTTGCAGAATTACAAGGCTTCCAGCTAATAATTGGAAATTTGAGGACTCAGAACAGCTATTCCATGCAAAATACCTTAAGATCTAGGTATTTCAACGACTCCCTTGAAAACACTATTCAATAGATCATAGCTCTTGAAAAAGGGAGAGGTTGGTGGTACATCATGACGCATAGAAAACCATGAATTTGAGTATAATACAAGTCTAAATCCTAAAACTAAATTAAAAAAACATAACCAAAATTGCAAAAATCTACTGTTTATTTAGCAAAAATCCCATAAAATCTGAAAATATAGGTTTAAATACCCTATACATCCATAAATAACCAAGAAAACAACCACCTAGAAAAAATAATAAAGCTAGAATCCAAAATTAACAAGGAAAATATAAAATATGGTCCTAAACTGTGAAGATAATTTTAAAGGGCATTCAGAGTGGGATTTGACGAATCTGAGCAGCGAACGAGTTTTTAGCGCAAGTAGAAGCTCAGCTCAAGTTCAATTTTCTATCAGGAATTCACTTGTAATATTTGAGCTATCTGTTTGGACACCTTCTTGAACTGTTTTTATTTGTCAATCTGATCCATAAAATCCTGGACTAATTGTTTCAAGTCACACCATATCTAAAGTAAACACATGAAAGGATAATTTCATGTCATATCTGAAACTACTGCTCTTAAGTAAACAAATCCGTAGAGCAGATCGAATCCTTTGAATTTATGCTTAAATAATTGGAAAGAAAGTGAAGAATTCCGTGTCGATACTCCTGATTTCTGAAATCTAAAATAATATATCAGATCCTTCTCTATCACATGTTTATGAAAAGATTGACAGGCATGTATCATCTAAATGATCCCTTATGGCAAGACTGGTACCCATAGCAGATATATTTCCATCTTAAAGCTTCTTTGCCTAAATTTAAGAATATTTTAGGAATAATCTACTAATTTGAATCGGTAAAGGAGGGAACTGCTCAATATCAGTGAAAGCTGAAATGGCTAATAACTGACGAGAGCTTTATACAGCCTGTCCCTTGCACTGCCAAGAAGAACACAGTACGGCTCATCTGGAGGGATTTGTTTCCATATTTCTGTTTTCGTAATCCATTTAGAAAAAAATAAAGAAATCTGATGAAGCAAATTTAAAACACATCGAATCAAATTTCCTTTAGCATCAAGCAGGAAACTTGAGGTATTTTATGAAATTGTTATCACATTATCATGCTAAGACTATATAAATTGGGAGTTAATGAAATACCCATGTAGCAGTGTTTTGCACATCTCCTTGAATAGGGATGAAGTTGGTCTGGACGAACACGGAGTACTTCATTGCAGCGTCACATGGACATCTGTAAATGAAATCAGACACGCTCATATGATAGCTTTTTAGGCCTGTTTGGGTATGCATGCAAATCTCATTCTTTTAAATTTTGATTTTTTTAAAAATAATTTTAAAAATAATTTTAGATTATTTATATTTGTTTATATTAAAAATAATTTTTTTATTTTAATATATTTTTAAGTAAAAAACACTTTAAATCATCACTATTATCATAATCCTAAATACATCATAAGAACCATCCTAAAAAATTCTTATCCTAAAAAATATTAGAAGAGTGTTTTTCCCTTTTTTTTGTTTAAATAAATTGCTTTTTAATTTAGATTATTATGATGAAATTTTAAAAAATGAAACAATTATGTCTTTTTTTTTTAAATAAGATTTATTTTTTTATATACATCTAATATGTTTTTTTGTAAATTACTCATAAATATTTAATGAAAATATTTTTTATGGTAAATTTTTTTTATATATTTTTCAAAAATTATTTATTATTTTTCTTTATTATGGTTTCACAATTATCACGGCATGATTTTGTTTTTGTTTTATTATAAAAATTCGCTTTTCATACAACGCTAAGTTCTTATATAAAAAATCATTATTTCAATAAAAAAACATTTTTGCTAGAAAAGAGACATGAATAATGAAGGAGGATTTTGGCTAAAAAAGATGTAGTTTTCTTTTCTCTCATTCATTCTAAATCATTTAAAATTTTATGAATATTTTATTCTGATTGTGTTAGGTTTTCATTCAAAAAATCATGCTACTTATAAAAAACACATATTTTTTTAAAATAAAAAATACTTCAATAAAAAAATGAAAATTTAAATAAAAGAATATAATTTTTTCAGCTATAATCTATTTTTTTTAGTTCTTAAAAATATTTATTCTAACCAATGTATATTTATATAAAATAGATTTTGAAAATCACCTCAGGATAATATGACATGACTAGTTGGATACAATCTTTTCAAAATTCAACAACTCTTTTTTTCTCTTATAATCATCACATCCATTTGATTATTATTATTATTATTATTATTGATAATAATATTCTCGAACCAGTTACGTATCAATCAAAATTAAGTTTCTATTGGACCAATTTTAAATATGCATCCTTAAACATCAATATAGAGCATTCTTAAGAATTTAATATATTCAACTATCTAGTAAATCCAGTAGGTAGACAATGATAAAAGCTTTAAATCAAAGAATTTTTTTTTTTTATAATTTCAGATTTAAATTTTATGATTGTTAATATAATAATGACTAAAAATTTATATAATTGTTAATTTCAAAACTTGTAAAATTAATTAAAATATATACAAATTAATCTCAGCATCTATATTTATAAAAACATAATTAATATATTTTTCATGCTAATTAAACTCAGGTAATAAAAAAATATAGTAAACTTTCTTAATTAGGCCAACCCAATTTTGAATATTATTTCAAATGTCTAAATTACCAAAATTTAGTTGTTATATGGTAATTTTATAATTATCAACTTTTTCTAATAAACTCAAATTAATCTAAAAAAAACATTACTACAAAATTGACAAATAACAATAGAATTACCGATGTAAAATATTCTATCGGTAATGTTCATTAAAACAGCTGTCTATCTCCCTCAGACGGTTGATCAGCCACCAATAACAGCCCCTCACAACAACGCCACCTCCTCCATACAACAACGGCATCCTTAAAAACAAAACCACCATCACCCAACGCTGCCAGCCGATATTCTTCTTCTATCTTTATCCTTACTGACGACCAGTCAACCCGACACCTTCAGCCACTTCCTCTTCCACTTGTGGTAGCAATATCAGTAACCGTATGTGAAGAAAAAGAGAAGATCGATGCAGATCTGTGAAGAAAAAAATATAAAATTAATTGTGTTTGTATGATTTTGTATTCTTTTGCAGGTGACGATGACACTCACCACTGACATAGAAATAAAAAGAAGAAGCCACTTCAGATCCAAAAATTTTTTCTCTTCAAATAGTGACAACGCGCGAACCCACGCGCCAACAATGATGATGACGAATGGGTCCATGCTTTGTTGCCCCCAGCAGCTTCATTGGCCATTGAGATCTTGTCCAGGAGGTGTTCTACAAATTTTGAATGATTTTGTGTTATGATCATTGTGGAATTGTGATAATTGTAAATGTGTAATTGCAGGGGGTGTGTAAATCAGTGAAGGAGATTCGTGTGTGTTTGTAGCATTTAGCATATTTTAAATAAATGACTAAAACAAAAGGATAAAAAAATAATTAAATATTTTAATTTGCGTATGATTAAGTATAAAAAAAGAAGCATAAGAAATGTATCTTTTGCATATTTTATTTTATTTTGTTAAATATTATATTTAGCATAAAAATCATCATTTATGTATGTGTTTAAGCATTGTAAATAAAATATTTGTGTCAGGTATGCATAAAAAATATTTATTTTTATTTGCATATTTTTTTTTAAAGCTTGATAACAAAGTTAACAAAGCCCATTAAAATCTTGGACCAAATAAATTGACCTATTAGATCTATATACCTAAAAATAATAATAAAAAACTCATATTTTTTTTTTAAAATAAAATTTTAATTTACAATTGTTTTTTTTACAAAAATACTAGAGCTTATTTTAGCTACTCTTGGAGTCCAAAACTCAATTCTTATTATTCATATTGCTATAATAATTATTTTTTTAACCATTTTTATAAAATCTATTTTTAGATATAAACATTATTTTTTATATATATCTTTATTTTTTAAAAAAGATTGATATCTAGATTTTAAAATCAAATACTGGTTACATCTATTTTTAATAATTTTAATAAAAAATTTAATATTAACATATTTTATAAGTTTTTTATTTTTAAGAATTTATTTTATTTTTTGACATGTTTAAATACCGCATCAAAATTTTTATAAAATATCTAGAGATTAAAAAAATAAAAAAATAATTAAAATAATTAAGGACAATAAAAAAGATAAATTAAAAAAATAAATAATAAAAAAATATTTCATAAAAAAAATATAGTAAAGATCACATCATCTTTAATCTTTATCTGAATCTCGATCTCTAGTTTTTTGTAATTATTAATGGTGCCTCCTAATTTTCCATGATATATACTTTCTTCTTCAATTTTATAGAGTCGTGGCTGATGTCCACCAAGTTACGACACATGCCTCTACTGTTATGTTCTATTCACATTAGATATAATTAAAATAACTCTTTGAAATGAAGGGACTCATTCTAATACTATATTATTGTATTAAAATTAGCAGTTACTTGAATAAAATTTTTGTTCACATGCATGATACACATTACACATTCATACAATATAAATATATTTTATTTAAATAAATGAATCCTCTCGAAAAAATTAATTTAAAAACATTATAGTAACCTTAGTAGTTAGTCATGGTAGAAAAATATGAAAAAAATCTTATAATATTAAAGCTTAAATATTAACATCGGACACCTGATAATTATGAAAACTTCTTAGATTGTTAATTTGTAAGTTTTTTAAACCGTAAATATTTATTAAAATATTAGATTATATTTTTCCATCATATTTGTGTCATGTAAGAGATCCCAACATATTAAATATCTGGATAGTTTCACCATTAATTCTTATTTTCATCATACAATTTAAACTAACTTAAATTGAATGAAATGAAAAAAAAATTATTTTTTTAATTGAAACATCTATCCATATACATTATAATAAACAAAGAAACTCTTATTCTATTTTTGTTTATTAATTTTATTTTTACAAGAAATCATGGAATTTTTTTTTTATAACAACGTACTATAAGAAAATTATATTTCCAAGTTCTAATTATGCTGATAAATAAATTGGTACAAAATCTTGTGTGATTATTGTTTTAAAGAGATCTAATTATAAACATTCACAAATATGCATGCAAGCATGGTTCTTAAAATCATGTTTTGACTCGTAAAATCATACGATTTTACAAGTCAAAACATGCTTTATTTGCCGAATCGTTTGAAAAAATTAAAAATAGGTGAAATCGTTAAAATTGTAAAAAATCACATGTTTAGGACCAATTAAACAATTTCACTAAAATAAAAGTAAATATTTCCCTCTATGCTCTAGCTGTCTGGTGCTTATTGGTTGGGTAAATGCACAGTCACTTATGTGTGCCCATGCCTATAATGCTGATGAGAATGAGGTGGCTTACTGCCAAACAATAGATGCACACAAGACCACAAATCTATTTCAGGTGGAATCAATTATCGGTCACCACATAGAAATGGATATTCACTTAATTTGCTTTCGTGTCTTCTCTGTTATGTCCTTATTTGTTTTCTTCTACACCGAGAGAAGAAAGTCAAAGAGGTCTCAATGAAGTGAACAGGACAAGAGATATCATATCAGACAATAAGCCTATATAGCATTTTCAAGCAGTGGATGCGTCATGTTTTATTTTCTTAAATTTATGTTGAGCTTTTTATATTATCTTGAACTCGTAGGAAATGAAGCTAGTTTTAGTTTATATGATATATCAATAGATTATTTATTTTAACTTTGTTTATTATTAATTAATAAAAAGTTACTTAAATTATATATGAATTTTTATTTGAACTATGTATTTTAAGATACTCGAATTATTTATAAATTTTATTTCAAGCATGTATTTTAAGGTGCTTGAAATTATATATGAATTTTTATTTCAAGTATGAACTTTTTATGTATTTTAATTTTTTTTATAATTTTATGATTTATTTTTACAATCTAAGTTTATTATCTCTTTTCCATGCCGAGTTACTTGCATGCAACATGTACATTCACCCTCACACGCTAACTTCTAACTATTTTAGACCAATAAAATTAAAGTTCATTTATATGTTTTAAAAAGCAAGAAAAGTTAAATTAATTATAAATTATCAAGCTTTATATAAAACTATTTGGATTTTAAAGAAGACCATTTTAATTTAATGAATGCTAAAAATATTAATTACAAAAA